CTCCAGGTCTAGGAAGGTGAGCATCCAAACTGACTAGGATCCCAAAAAATCCAGAGCATGCAGAGGAAACAAGTCCCAGTGCCTTTATCAATGGCTTCTCAGACAGTCCCCGTGCCAGCCACATTCAGAGAATCCGGCCACATTCAGAGAATCCAGTTTGATCACGTGCTCGTTCAGTCCCAGTCCAGCTGGCCCTGGTGAACTCTCATAAGATCAGTCCCCTTGAATCAGTGGGTGAACGCACTCCTCACGGTCCTGCCTTCCTTGTTCATGTTCTCCCTCCTTCTGCTCCTCATTTGGACCCTGGGGGCTCAGTCCAGTGCTCCAATGTGGGTCTCTGTCTCAATCTCCATTCATCATCGGGTGAAGGTTCCCTCTGATCCTGCCTTCCTTGCTCACGTTCTCCCTCCTTCTGCTTCTCAAAAACGCACAGTTTTATATAATTTAGTTGTCATTTTAAGTATCGATGTGAGAAAACACACAGGAGCAAAATTTATTGTGAATTAAGTAACACTTTAAAACAGATTTACACATTTGATCAATAAAATTAAACTTGTATTTTAATAATATTCTTTATATATGAGAGATATTATTTTCATAGCTACCCCATGGCTTAAGGGGATTAATTATTCTCTGTAATAATTTGAAGCCTTTTACTGAATAAAGCCAGTAATTCAGGACCTAATGCTCACCAGGCTGAAAGACCCAGCTGAGCCACATGTCCCGGATGTAGTGAGCATCCGAGAGCAGCTCTTCCTTCCCTCCTCCACAGCTCTGGCTCCGAACATTGCCCTGGTCTTGCAGAGTCTCGATCTGCGGCTGGCTAAGAGGGTTCTGGTTGATTTCTAAGAACCAGTGTGTCACTGGAGAGAGGAAGGAGCTGTGAGAACAGACTGGCTGACTGTGGAGGGGAAATAGACACAGAAGTTTTACAGAAGGCTTCCTTTGTGGAAGGACAAGAAGAGCGCAGATATAAGCAAGACACATGATCGGGAGGGCATTCCCCACTCAGCTATGCTGGGAAGGATTTGAAAGCGTCGCTGGTTAGGATTTATTTCTTTTGTAGTCTATTCCTCTAGAGTACAACAGAAATGTGCTCAACGAATTAAAAAAATAAACGAGTTAAAAATGAGCAGCATAGATTTACTTTCTATTGTTTCAGGTGGTTTTATTTATGGCTTCCAAGCATTAGTACAAAGCTTACATTTGCAGTTGAAGAAAACAGCAGGCGCTGGGATAAAGACGTCTGACACATTGTCCAGGCCCCATAAGCTTTGAGTTGCCTCTGAAGGAGAAAGATCACAGAAGCTTAACAGCGATCCCTTGAAAGGTGGTCAGCAGAACCATGGCTTGTGGTTGCTTTCTGAACCACAACCGGGTGGCCTGCTGGGAAGTTTCATTTTCCATTTTCCATTATCTTCTTCCTGCTAAACACTCTCAGTTCGACGTAAAGTCTATCAGCACATAAATGTGACACGGCTTAACTTTTCTGTGAAGTGTTTTCGAACGAGCTCATCTCTAATACCTGTATTGGCAGGGATGCCTATGGAATGCTTATGGAACTATGTGCCTAGAGCCATTTCACTCTGTAACACAGTCTTGTTACAGAATCCTTTGTGTGATCTGCTACCTAAACAACGACATAAGGCCGTTCATTGTTCAATGGCTTGCGAAGTGGGATCGCCTTATCGTTAGTTGTTTTTGGGTTCTCACTGTATCTTGAAACATACAACACATATTTTAATCAAAATGAATTAGATTCACATTGATTGAGGAACGTATTACTGGAGTAAATATCTGAGTTTTTGTTGTGTTAAAACATACACTCTGTTTTTAATGTGTTTTCAGCACTAAATGTGCTTACTTTGTCTCAAAGAAAGACCTCTACGGTTTAAAAACACCCATTTAAATTAGCATTTTTTAAAAATAAAATTCATATTTTACTTCAAATTCTAAACAAGTAGAGAAGAGGCAGGCAGATCTCTTTGAGTCGGAGGACAGTCTGGTCTACATAGCAAATGTCCTGCCAATCCAGGTTATATAGTGATACCATGTCTCAATAAATAAACAAACAAGCCTAGACAAACAAACCAGCCCCCAAACAAGTAGGCAGACCTTCAGACCATCTTTGTATTCATATACAAATCCTTCAATAAGAAAATATGTTCTCTAAAAGTCATATTGTGTGGCACATCTTTCTTGTGAATCCCGTCTCTATGAAATGGAGAGGGACAACAGTGCCTTTCAGTCAATCAGAAGTTCTACATTCCAGCTCATTGCAAAGCTTTTTAAGATTAAAAATAGACATTTCAAGAATGTGTAATTATTTTTACTTCTTTTATGCAAGGTAGACTTTAAAGAAGGCTTTGTCCCCCGAAAACCTAACTTCAAATTCCAAGCACTTCTCCCCCTCTGTGTTATTGCCCACATCTGAATACTCTTCGTGGGTAGTGGAGAAACTACATTGCTTCCAATGACTTGAAGACACAGGTAGAAATTTCAGAGCAAAGCAGAAAACGTTAAAGAGCACACGACACCGGGAGGAATGAACAGATCTGACCACATGTCACTCAGCCGAAAAATGCACAGACACAGGAAAAATGCTTTGGAGTGACCCTTGGATGTCAGGCCTCCTATTTGGTGAAAGAGTATGCAGCCTCCTTGGATCGCAGTGTTTATTTTGCCTCTGACCTTCAACCCAAGCCTCTTTCAGTTCTCTGTGGCGATCTTTTTAGCCTACATCTGCCTCTTCAGTGAATAAATTGATTGTACATGAATCTCCCTTGAAGACTTTGCCACTCATAATCAGTTTTATTGCCTTCCTAAACCAAGGATAAAAAAAGGCGTATATCAAGGGGTTCATGGCTGAGTTGTAGTAGACACACCACACTAATATCTCATAGACGTAGGGAGGTGTTATGAAGTTCATGTAGGCATCAATCACAGCATCGATGATGTACGGTAACCAAGACACGAGAAACGCTGCCATGGCAATCCCCAAGGTTTTGGCAGCCTTCCTCTCTCTCTTGGCTACTCTTTCCTTGTAGCTCTCTGAGGCCTGAGCTTGACTGGCCGTACTCTCGATCTTTCTAGCCTGCTGCTTTGCCACTAAAAATATCCTACCGTATAGAAACACCATGACAATAGTGGGCAGAAAGAATAAAAGGAAACAAAGTAGAACCCAGTTTTGATTCAGTGGAGCCTGACAGCCTCCCACGCAGGTCAGAGCAACCACTAATTCCTCGATCCCTTCTTCATTGGCTCCCGTGTAAAAGATAGAAAAGCTGTATGTGACAGAAAAGAACCAGGAGAGAGCAATGCATACTCCAGAAACCGATACGGTGAACTTGGTGGGATATGACAGCGGGTCTGTAACTGCTATGTACCGGTCGATGGAGATGCAGCATAAATGAAACAGGGACGCAAAACAGAAGGAGGTGTCAAAACAAGTGTGGAACTTACAGTAACTCTCCCCAAAGTACCAGCAGCTCTCCACAGACCGCACAGTGCTGAAGGGCATCACGGTCACGCCCACCAAGAAGTCTGCACAGGCCAGGGACGCCACCAGAAAGTTCGTAGGTGTATGTAACTGTTTGAAGTGGAGGATAGCGATAATGACTAGTAAGTTTCCAAACACTGCCAGCAGGGCTCCTAAACCAAGGACTGCATAGAGGATGGCGCGGGGGCCGGGGGAATAAGTACTTTTGATGCAGGATCCATTCACATTCTCGTAGCAGAGCGCCAAAGATTCTGAAGGGGAAAAGCTGCTTGCCATTGCCTTCAGTCTTGACAATTCTAAACTTCCCAGATTTCCATTCTAGAAATCTAGAACAAAAACAGGGTGGCAACTTCACAGGCTTCTGGGAGAAACAAACAACAAACAAAAAGCCAAAACAACTCTAGGTAAAATAGTATCCTTTATAATCATTTTCCCACGTGCTGTTTATAGCCATTTTAGTCTTTCCCAAAAGTACACCAGAGTTATTAAATAACTTGATCCATAAAGTCATTTTCAATGTCAAATGTATTACTAAATAAATTTTTAGCTATGTACATAGTCTAATGCAGAAATTATTTTATACTATTATGTTTTATATTATAACTACTATATTGCTATTAATATAAAATTTAATTTATTTGTCATTTTGAAAACCCATTTTTCATGTGTGGGTGTCATCTTACCATTTGAGCATCTCATCTGTGGCCACCTGGATTGAGAAACAGCTTGGCCACCCCAGGCTGAATTTTATTTGCTACTCAGCCGTCTCCCCAGAGTAGCCAGCTCAGCAGCAAGCAGCAATCAGCGACTCAACTTTGTTTTTTTTCCTCTCCGAAACGGAAAAAATAAATTACATAATTTTCAAATTGTAGTTTCCAAATCCCCATAGTCTAGAGTGTGAAGGCTGGGAGAGCTCACTCACGGCTGCTCTATGCACACTTGGAGGATATGTTTCTCCTGTGACTTATATTTTCATTGTTTTTCTTTTTCTTTTCGACCCTGATGATTTGGGCAGCTGAAAGTGACCGGGAAACCGATGATCAAGCAGTATGAAAGTACTTTGCAGGCAAATTCTCAATTTGAGTTGTCTAAAATCAACAAGAATTTTTAAAGATAAGCCCGAACCCCTCTAGCACCTCATATTTCAATCAGGAAATAAGAAGTTTAGTTTTAGACTCACCACAAAGGGGTGTCAGTGACTGGGGTGGGCTGGAGTTTGTACTCCAAACTCCAGTGTCCCCTAAGTAGACATATATGCTGCCATCCAAGGCACAAGTAGTTTCTGCATGTCTTTGAATTTGTTCTTAGAGGAGACAGGTAGCCTAAAGAGAGTTTCCAAAGTGTACCCGACAAGCAACTGATCAGTTTCTACTCTGTGAATAAGAGGAAACTTACATTTGAATATTAGTTCTAAGCTAATATTAGAGAGAACAGACTGCTCTCACTGTAATCTTTTACATGACATCTGTTGACAATTCAAGATTATATACAGATGTACGCAGCATTGATTTTTCTATTTTAAAGCAATGGGTTTCCATGTCCACAAGTTTTAAATGATTTGTATGCTATTTCAAGCATGACAGATTCATTTTGTCAATTTTGAATTCCCATTTATTTATTTTTTTATTCTTTTTTAAAAGATAAATTCTTTCATATATTTTGTCACAACCAGTTTCCCCTCTCTCTCCTATCCCCATTCCCAATCCCATCTCCCTTCTCCTCCAAATCCATCCCCCTTCTGTCTCCCCTCAGAAAAGAACAAGACTCCCAGCGCCATCAACCAAATATGGCCCTGATATACTACCATCTTATCAACGTTGGATGAGACCACCCAGTAGAAGAAAAAATGGTTCCACAAGCAGACAAAAGAGTCAGAGACAGCCCTGCTCCCACTGTTAGGACTCTCACAAGAACACCAAGCTACTCAGTCATAACATACATGCGGAGAACCTAGGTCAGACCCCTTCAGACACTCTGATCTCTCTGAGCCCCCTATGAGTTCTGGTCTGTTGATTCTGTGGACTATATTTTCCTGTCTTCTTGTCCTCTCAGGTTCTTCCAATCTTTCCTCCACGGGGCTCTCTGATTTCCACCTAATGTTAGGGTTAGGGTTAGAGGTTAGGGTTAGGGACACAGCATCTGTTCCTGTCAGTTTTTGGATGAAGTCTCTCTGGTCTCTTTGATGAGGATTTTGCTAGGTGCTAGTCCCAGAACACTCTGCAGGTAGGATAAACTGTGGATTTTGTGGCTGGATTGGTGTCTCAATTTCTCCACTTGATACCTTGCTTGGCTATAGAAGATGGCTGAGGAAAGGTCTGTGTCCTCCATTATTAGGAGCCTTTGGTAAGGTTACTCTAGTAGATTCCTTGGAGCTTCCATTGTAAAAATGTCTAAGATAAGAAACACAAATGACAGCTCATGCAGAATGTGGAGCAAGGGGGAAACACTCCTTCATTGCCAATGGGAGTGCAACCTTGTGCAGCCACCTTGGAAATGAATATGGCAGTTTCTCAGCAAACTGGAAAAAGATCCACCTCTGGTTCCACCTATACCACTCATGGGCACCCAAAGGACTCTTCATCCTAGCACAAAGACGCTCAGCTTTGCTCATAGAAACTTTACTTATAATAGCCAGAAACTGAAAACAACCTAAATGTTTCTCAGCTAAAGACTGGAGAAAGAAAATGTGGTCTGTTGGCACACTGGAGTATGCCTCCACTATTAAAAACAAGGGCATCAAGAAATTTGCAGGCAAGTCAATGGAGTAAGAAAACTCAGACTTAGAAAGACAAACATGGTATGCACTCACTTATAAGTGGATATTCATTGTAAAGTAAAGAATAACCATGCTCTAATTCACAGACCCAGAGAGGCAAAGTAACAAGGAGGGATTAAGTGGGGTTCAAGGATCTCTGTAGGAAGGAATAATAGAATAGATTTCATGGGTGGACTAGGGGTAGATGGAATTGGGAAAAGAAGAGATCAAGGAGAAGAATAAAGGAGAAAATACTGGGAGGAACAATTGGAATTGGAGGGCATTTGGGGGGTGAGGTAATGTCCCATTTATGTTTGAACTGTCCTTGGTTTGGTGTTCCAAAATTAACTACTCTCTTTGCAGTGTCCTGGTGTAGGAAGTCCTTCTGTCTTTGTATTGCTTTCATTAGTTAATAAAAAAACTGCTTTGGGCTTGTTGATAGGGCAGAACTTAGGTAGGCGGGGTGGGGCGGAGACTAAATGGCATGCTGTGAGAAAGGAGGCAGACTCAGAGAGAGACACTGTGGATCCTCTGGAGACAGATGCTGGGAAGTTTATCCAGTAAGGCACTGCCACATGGCGATACACAGATTAAAAGAAATGGGTTAAATTAAGATGTAAGAATTAGCCAATAAAAAACTAGAGCTAATGGGCCCAACAGTGATTTAATTAATACAGTTTCTGTGTGGTTATTTTGGGGCTAAGCCAGCTGGGTGGCTAGGACAAACCAGCAGGCCTTCCTCCTTACAGTGTCCCTGGCCAGTTTTGGGCATCCCCAGATGTCAAGTCTAAATATTCATAGATCATTGTGACCAATAAAGTTACACTGCTGACATAATCTTTGCTTCTATTCCCACTCTTCGAATGAAGCCCGCTCACATGTGTCTTGCTTTACTCTCAGGGTAGCTGAAGGCACTTCACTCCAGGGGGTATCCTGCCCCAGAGTTTAAATGTCTGTGCAAGGAATTCTTGTTCCTCACTCCTTGGATACTCCCCCCTCCCCGCTTCTCTGTGGGCAAGTAAGGGTGCTATTGTGCAGGAGGGAGTGAAGGCCTTTCCCAATCCTCTAGTCTTAAATTCTAGAATGGCAGCCTGTAGTCTCAATCAACAATGTCTTAATCCTTGCCCTCACCTAAAAGCAAAGACACCGGAGCAACAAGGAAAACCTCTAAGATCCACATTGTTGTTTAATGATGCTCATAGATAAGAGGAACCAGACCTATTTTTATGCCAGAAACCAAGCAGGAAATCTTTTTTTTAATGTCAGCGTGTGGTGATACTTTGTTAGTGATCTAGCAAATAAAGCTTGCCTGAAGATCACAGTGCAGAGCAATAGTCACACTAGTTAGCCATAGACGCCAGGCAGTGGTGGCACATAACTTTAATCCTAGCATTTGGGAGAGAGAGGCAGATGGATCTCTGTGAGTTCAAAGTCACCCTGGGCTACATAAATGAGACTGAATCAGTCTAAAAGAGAAACAGAGCTTACACCTTTGATTCCAGCACTTGGGATTGTATGTCTTTAATCCCAGCACTAGGGAGGTGAAAACAGGAGTAATATGGCTGGATGGAGAGAGGAATATAAGGCAGGAGGAGAGAGGAGCTGGGGCATTCAGTCTGAGGATTCGAGGAAGCTGGATCTTGCCCTTTTCTGTCTGAGGATTTCATAGAAGTAAGAACGCTAATGCCTGGCTGTTCTGTTTCTCTGATCTTTCAGCTTTCATCTCTTAATTTCTGACTTTGACTTTTTATTATTAAGACCAATTAGAATTCATGCTTCGTCAACACATTTCATAAGGGCACTGCTGCCAGCATGATTAGGCACCTAGTATACAAATCTCAAATGTCAAAGTAATAGTGGAGAATGAAAAATTATAAGCAGTGAGAAATGAAAACAAATTAGGTCATGCTAATCAAGAATAAATCTGTGTATAAGTATACTGATGATGATGATGATAGATAGATAGATAGATAGATAGATAGATAGATAGATAGATAGAT